TTCATTTTGATTCCAGGCAGCCCAATGACAGCAAGGTCTTACTTAGATCCAGGCAATTGTGTTACTTTTCAGAAAAAAATAATTAATACCAGGTTTTGCAATAATTTTGCCCTCCTCCTATATTCCCTTCAGCTGAAAACAAAAGCATGATATCTCCTTTGAGAAAGACTGAATGGCATTGCAGTCATCGGTTTGTTTTAGAAATAACATTTATTAAGCCAATAAACAGGTAATGGCTCCTGGCCTCCCCACCCCCAAGCATTTGCTGGAGAGCTGGCGAGTCAAAGGCACGCTTCAGCCTGGTGAGACTCGAGGTGGAAGGCCAGAGCCCCTCGGCAGCGACATGCGGGTGCGATGGGGACCACTGTGCGCTTGGTCGTTCCCTCCAGCGTCCCCCGCTGGAAACCCTGCACGCAGCCGCTCGTGGTAGATAGAATGCACCACCTTTGAGAGGTTTTGTTTTTTCTTGTGTAAGACATCAGTCTACTGCTGGAGTGGCAAAGATTTAACACATAATGCCAGGCTTTGGTACTTTGATATTGGTCTCTGGATGTGCTTTTTTTTTTTTTTTTTTTTTAATCTGTATATTCCTACTCCTCTAAAAATACACCTCCTAAATGACTCAAACTTTATGTTGTATTTAAAGTGCTCACTTTCTCTGTTCTAGGTCACTGTCTCTCACCCAAATGTGATAAACATATATTATAGCAAGTTGCCTGAAGCAAACTCAAAACAGCGTCCTTCTGAACTCAACTTTCCCTGTTATGCGCCGGATTAAATTAGAGGTACATCGTTCAACTCAGATTTCGTGACAGCAGCTGGCCCCTACTCAGAAGCTACTGCTCTGTCCTAAAGTCCGCTGGGTCAGGAGACAGGGAGATCCAGCTCTAAAAATAGCATGCTGTAGCTAGGTGGGGGAGTTCCAAGAGTGGATGATTGCTGGGAGAAGAAATAGGTCACTTTTCTCTTCATTTCCAGGATATGGTCTGGAGGGCAGGTGGAATGTGCCTGACAATGTGCCTTTGCAAGTGGCTTTCACTAAAAAACCAAAATCTAGGAGCTGAAATCCACAGTTAAGGGTCATGCAGTGCAACTCCTGGTACCTCGTCAACTCTCCGTGGTCTTGTGAAGGAGGGCACTGCTCCAAATCCGTGACACGTCGGAAGCCTGGACTCTACGTCCCCAGGAGCAGTTGTCCTCCTGCAACACTAACCTACTGAAAATCTATGTTGGGCATTCGACTCTCTGTAGAGTGGCCTGTAGCCGTGTACCTCAAGTCACAGGAGCTGGTTCAAAACAGCAGCATTCACCTGGGCAAAGACATTTTCCTGTGGAAAGGCGCTGTTGGGTAGATGCTCAGCTTCACGCGCTGCTTCTGAGAACCCTTCTTCAGTTCTGCAGCTCGGCTTCGTGCCTCTGGCCCTGCTGTGGAAAGCTTAGGCTGCTGGAGTTTATGGCAATTTAGCCATTCATTTCTGTAAAACACAAAAAGGCTTAAATCTAGAAGGGGGTTAAAAAGCACTAGATAGATGCTTTAGCCAGGTAATTGGCAGGAAAGGTGTTGATCAGTTTTGCAACATTGCCTTGTGCCTCCCAGAAGCTCAGGTGCCCAAGCATTGTAAGTTGCTGCCCTTCCGCACGTTTTTATGGACAGCTGAGCCATTAGCTTTACATCCTGGTGTAGCACAGATTTGCACATGCGCACGGGTATTTTAATATCCAGAAATAAGAAGCATTTGCATTAAAAAAAAAAAAAAAAGAAAATTAGATCTCAAATAATAAAACTTTGGTAACTTCCAACTTTATAACAATGCTGACAATAAAGCTAAGCTTAAATGAATTGTTAAGTAGAGACGCCGGTCTAAAAATGTGAGATTTCAAGAAAACGTTGCACATTGCTGCTCGAAGTCCATGTTCCTTAAATGATGCTGATGCTAATTTAAATTCTAACATGCCACATAGCATTGGAAACTTGGTTACCAAGTAGGGCTGTGCTGGCATTAGGAAAAAAATACTGTCATCCAGCTATGAAGGAGCTCCAAGTAGATGAGCAAAACGAGAAACCACCTTCGGTTTGATACAGAACTCACGCAAAAATGATCATGCTATTAATAGGGAGGAAAAAACCCCTAAAAAGTCTGCCTGGATTCTCTGTTATTAACAGTTAAAAACTCAAAATTAAGCTGAAATGCTGTTTCACGGAGGGAGGTCCTATTATTTGTATTATCTACAACACTAGATCAAATGTTTGGGTTGTCCACAACAGCAGTTGCACCCTAAAACTGAGGGTACAGCCCTACGGGAACACAGCACTCCCCAGTACCCCTAACACCGATGAAGAGGCAGAGGGCAGGCCGCCTGCCCAAGCCCCTGGCCACTCGCATGCTGAACCTTCTCTGAGGTCAAACGACACGTCGACACCGAAGGATGAGGACGATCCATTTTGTCAGAGGTCCAGCGGCGCGTGGTATGCGGAAGCGAGATGCCGCGGCAGCGCCTCGTCGCTGGCATGCCGGGGAGCTTCATGAGCACCTCGCAGAGCCCCATCGAGCAGGGCACCGACGGCCAGAAGACGTTTTCAACACCAGGTCACACTGGACCTTCCAAGGGAACAGCAAAGGGCACCTTCTCCACTCCACAGGGCCAAACCACATCACAAAGCCCCAGCTGCAAATCAGACCTCTGAAGTCACGCCTCTACCTCGGTTTCCTCCCAGTCCCACCAAAATGCACGTTGCCCCCTCCCTAACCCCCAGTCATACGTCAACCCGACCAGACGCCTGGGATGAGGGTCACCACAGCAGCCATGAGACACAAACACGGTGCCCTGGAAAGGTGGGTGTATCCTGAAGGCTACAAGGATTTCCCCGTGTCGGGAGCTGCAGCTTCCCATGTGGGGCCCGGCTTGTCCCAAGGGGTCATCAAGGTTTCAAATGATAAGGGCCCAGGGTAATGAAACCGGACTGTGGTGGCACTGGGTGGTGAAATAGAAATTTTCCCCATCTAGTGTGAGTCAGGTAGTGTCTGTGTTCCTGTAGTAAGTCCCAGCATTATCTGATCCTTGCAGTTATTTCATACATACACAAGTTTTGAATAAAATATTTAGGTCATGTAGAAAAAGTTATGACATTTAATTTTTCTTTTTTTAAAAAAAGTTTATTTTCCACAAGGAAGAGCAATAGGAAAAATTAAATTGTTTTCCACATACTGTTTTCTTGAAACAGAGTCTACAAGGACATATTCAGCACCAAAACTAAAAACAAAAAAAAAGTACAAACAGCCATAGAATAATCTATAAAGCAAACATTTAATATTGCACTTTGTTTCTCTAATGTTTGGATTTTACTCACTTTTTCCTAATTCAGATCAGAATTCTCTATCAAATACTGGGCTAAAACTGTGAACCTCATGTTTTAAAACGATGAGAATTGACCAATACTTGTGGAAGAGTAATGCCTCTGAACAACTAACAACGTAATTTAAACTAAAAAGTCTTTATTTGATAAGGTTATAGAATTGTTCACTCTAATCACAAAGGCTTGTGATGCCATGACAATTACTACGATATTGGTCAATCCCGATTCATATGCAATTTTCCATTATATTGTGGTAAGTACTTTAATGCTATGTATATCAGCAATTGTTCCCTAGTCTGTTAAAGTAACAAAAAAGGAAAAAAAAGTAAAACCACCAAATGCCCTTTTATGCCAACGATCCCATCAGCTTTTAAAATTGTCTGGTTGGAGAGGGTAGAGGGAAGGGACATTCACAAAATTGGCCTAGTAACACAAGACGTCACCCAATTTCCTTCTCGTCCAATATTCTTGCTCAAAGCCCAAGCCTTTTAACTGAATCACTTAAAACGCGACTCATTTATATTTTATCACCCTGTTGTCATTTTTGAAACATGAATTATCGTTCATGTTCTCATGAAGGCCACTTATGGAAAAGCCTATTTTGTCACATTTATGAAGCCTTAAAAACAAGGCAGAGGTTTTTAAGAACAAGCACCACACAGGAACACCAGCCTCCCCTCTCTCGCTCCCTTCCGAGCCGTCTTATTGCACAAGGAGATAGATATTTGATGGATTACATCTTGATTTAACTCGTCAACACCAGAAGCATGTCCCTTTGTCAATGGCCTGTGTTACACGGTTTCTGAAAAGGAAAGTTGACTTTTGTCGTAAATCTCTAGCATGTAAGTGCTGCCATTTGTGCTAGCACACCTTACGGCTCCTTCGCACTCTGTTCTTGCTTGGGGCACACTCAAGGGCGAGTGCTCTTTCCACGTAATTCCCTCCGTTCTGCATGAACATATGGTCAAATTCGCTGTTCCATTTGTTTCAAAGCTCTTGAGAGTACCACAGAAGACGTAATCATCAAAGCGATTCTAGCTAACTAGTATCTGAGTATGGCTGGTAACACTGATCTTGCCCAGTTTAATTATACTCCTAGTCTTACTATTTTTACAGTATCATAAACCCTGAAGATAATACAAAGTGCACAAGCTGAGCTCTTAGCATAGTCCAAGCTTTTCCTGCAGTTTGAAATATACTTTCTACTAGAGACTCATTACATATAGAATTTTTGGTGATTAGGTAAATATATATAAAAATAAATTTACTTTCCCTTCCCATCCCTACTACTTGAGATATTGATCTGTCTATGAATCCTAGACAGCATATGACTATTTCCTTTTAAAATTCTTTTGAGGCTGAGCTGGTGTCTGCTGGTGCTGCTTTCACTTGTGCCTTTTTTTTTTTTGTTTTTAAAGCTTCACAAACTTGAACATCTTTTTTTTATAACATAGAAAGATAAATGGGAATGAGGGTGGGTTTTGAAACTTTTGTGTATGTCCCTATTCCAGATCCCCCTCTCAAGTAAAGAACAAAAAACAAAACACAAACACAAAACGAAAGAGAAGCAACTCAACAGTGCAACATAACAAAACAAATAGCATTACAACAGTTTGGCAAGTGATGAGTTCACCTGAGATTAAGTGAATTTTAGGCAGTCTGTAACAAAATGCTGCTTTGCGATAATAGTAGAAAGGCAACAAATTCTTAAAAGAAATCAAGAAGGTATACAATCTTGATGAAGTCTATTAGTTTCTTTCTACTAACTCTCCACCCCCCACCCCAGCCCCACATCCGTTGCTTATCTACTACAGTAGGCTGCAAAACGTACAGCAAGAAGGATTGGCTTGAAGGCATTTGATGTTTGTAAATAAATCCACAATAGGATCCAAGCTGAAAAGGTGATACATGATCAGCCTACTAGGACAATTCTGAGCATGTGCATATGCAGGTAAAGTCCAGGCTACATTAAATTAAAAAAAAAAAAAAAAAAAAGTCAGTGCATTTGTCAAAGTCTGTTGCTGTTGTTTTTTTGCCAAAGCTTTCTTTTGCTCCTTATTGTGCGGACCACAAACAAAGAGGGGGGTAACAACAGTCCAGCATAAGTGAGAAAAAGCTGTAGTGACACTGAACCGCACAACGTAAGCGATGAGCATGTGCAAATTTCCAAATCATAAGAGGAAGCCACCCCTCTCTCACAATGTGGTTTGAGTGTTTTGACACACATGACCATAGGTTAGTAAGGCTGCTCCTAGTATGTGCCAGTATTTAAAGGAGGGGGGGGAAAGCTCAGGTCTTCAAGCATGTAGAGCAGCCCTACAATGTTACTGTAGGCTTTAAAGCACGATCACAGGTTGTTTTCATGTATTCACCATACAGGCAAGAGCAAAACCACTCCCTCTGAAAGTGTGTCTCCACCATGACGCCTTGACCTTCAACATGGCAGGTATGATTCAAAACCCAAGTCAAGTCAGCTTTGTATGGATTCCTTCAACGAGAGGGGCAAGATGGTCTGTCATCTGTGGGCTGATCTGGGTTTGGATCAATCTAACCAAAAGAGAGGGAAAAAAAACAAAACAACACGACCCAAGGCATTTTTAGAGTCAACTGCTAGAAATAAAGCAATCCAAACAAAACAACACCAAAATTGATAAGTTTAAGACAGAGCGATAAATGGCACTCCCAATCCAAAGGTTATTCAAATAACTGAAAAAACCTCTAGTCATTTAGACAAAACTTTGAATGAAAAATTAGTAACTAAGTACGCAGTACAAATTTTTAAACTCCAGGCTGATGGTAATTTAAGGGTAAGCACAAAGAACTAATAAAAGCTTTGAAATAAGTCTGCTTTAGCACCACAGAAACCTTTTTGATTTACTGTGCACCAAAAAGATAACTTGACTCATCACTAAAAATGTAGCTTAAGAAATATTTAATTAATTTCAGAAGACATTTTCCTTCAAAAGACACAAAGTTATCAGTAAAAAGTCATTCTACAACCACCCAATAAAATGTCTTAGAAGTCCATGTGTTCCACACCTTATCTCTTCTTCCTTTCTACAAAAGGAAGAAGGGAAACAACCTGCTAACTTACGTCTCCAAAACTGGGTAGTAAGAATAGTATAAGCGTATAGTATATAGTCAATGTTCTTCTCAGCTAGTTTTATGCAACCATTATTTGAGGACAAAAAAGGCTTCCAAACCTTTTAGTACCTACAACAAAAAAGGACTCGAGTTGTATTCTGGAGTTACGCTATAGAAGAGTCCTCAGAGAATTCTCCAGCACACAAAACCCATGCCCCTCGCTGCCCACTTAACAGCAGATTAGTGTTTCAAGAGAAGAAAACAAAAAATCAACAGTAGATGCATTAAGGCAAGATTTAGCCAAAGGACACTATTTCACTTTTGTCCTATACCACTGCTTTTTCCTGAAAAATATGAATGTGGAAAGCTTTGGAAGTTATGTCACAGTTATTGGATGGCTTTCACAGAACTAAAAATGCAGCCAGAAATGCTGGAGAACTGTGTATCTACAGAAACTCAAGTCAGAAAAAATACCTTTTCTACATGGAACTTCTGAAAGCACCACATACACAGAACGAAAACTGCCCAGAGTAGTTTTAAAAAGAAGTAGAACTGAAAAACATCAGCATGTTGCGCTGTCTATAGACGCAAAAAGCTGGTGTTAACCAATGCAGTGTATCACATTACATACACAACTTCATTAAAATGTTGCATAAAGGAGTACAAAGGAGTTTGGAAATTCCCTCACAATTCTAATGGCTTTGTCAAATCTGAAAACTCTTGATTAATTCACCTGCACTTTGCTGAAACAAAGAGTTGTCTTATCCCCTGTTCATCATTTTAACGATTTCTCATGATTTTTAGGAATGAGAAACAACTTCCTACATTTATTCCACAAGACAGAAAAACAGTGAATTAACGATCATATTCTGTTGAGGTACTTACTTCTGAATAGAGGGGTGGAGGCAGAAAACGGAACTCCTGGATGTACGCAAACAATGGTCCTGGAAGCGCTCTCTCAAAGTCATCGCAAGCACCTATGGGTGCAAGGCTGGACTGTCTTTGTTCCTCTGTGACCACTTCTGCATAGCTAGGAGGTGCTGCAGGGAAGAACACAACAAATTCTTACGCATGTCAAAACACGTCACATGATAAATATTACATTTTTTTTCACTTTAAAATACACTTCATAGAACTATTTGGGTTGGAAGGGACCCTAAAGCTCATCCAGCTCCAACCCCCTGCGATGGGCAGGGACACCTTCCACCAGACCAGGTTCCTCCCAGCCCCATCTTGAGCCTGGCCTTGAGCACTGCCAGGGAGGGGGCAGCCCCAGCTTCTCCGGGCAGCCTGTGCCAGTGCCTCACCACCCTCACAGGGAAGAATTTCTTCCGCACATCTAATCTAAATCTCCCGTCTTTCAGTTTGAAACCACTATCCTTCATTCTACCCCCACCCTCCTTGATAGAGAGTCCCTCCCCACCTTTCATGTAACCCCCTTTAAGTACTAGAAGGCCACTAGAAGATCTCCCCAGAGCCTGCTCTTCTTCAGGCTGAACACCCCCAACTCTCTCAGCTTGTCCTCACAGAAGAGGTGCTCCAGCCTCCTGACCATCTTCGTGGCCTCCTCTGAACCCACCTGAGCAAGTCTGTGTCTTTCTTGTGCTGGGGGCCCCAAAGCTTAACACAATATTCAATGTGTGAAAACAGAGAGAAGGAGATACAGAGTTTCTCCTTTGACAAGAGAGATTTCCCATCAAAACAAATTACATTACCTTTTCACAAAGCCTCGGTTACTAAGGCTGGTAAAGGACACCATAACTGCTACTACGACAGGTTACAATGCCTTCTAACCAAGGATGCAAGTGGGATACTGGAGCCAGAATTAATTCTGCACAGGTATAATGGCATCCTGCGCTTTCACTTGTACCAGCTTCCAATCAGCTGGTCTTCACTGCTTGTCCTTATGAGAGGAAGGCAGGGAGGGAACCCTGTTCTCCTACTGAGGACAAGCAGGTGGCAAGGGAACAGCCACAATGGATTTCCTGTGAGCTTTATTACCGAGGATGTAACTTGGCTCTGTTTGCACAACAGCAATGAAAGAAGCGGACAAAAACCAAAACAAACTAGCAAACTGACTGGGATTGGTTCTGTCAAGTTACCTTCTGGTCTTTCAGGCAGTGTCAGACCAAGCCAATTCATGTTCATGCTACACTGGCTGCTCACACTTGATGTTCTGCTACCAAATGGGTGTAGAGGAATGGTACCAATGACGAGTGGCAAGTTGAGGAATAAATCCATGGCACCTGGAATATCAACATACACCTAAAGCACAACAACAAAAGAAGCGTATGATTACAATGCAGGTTTAAACGAGTACTTCATAATTATCAGACTCTGTCCATGGAATTTTCCACACAGAACTTAAGTTTCTTATTGTCTGTTTTAGGGCCAATGCCCTTACCATGACAAAAAGCTAGTCGAGTCAAAAGCAGCTCCGGATTCTTAACATGAGCCCTCGTGTGGAAACGTTACCTACTCCTAACACATTTGCTTAGCTGGCAGGCCACAACTGTTTTAAGAACATGCATGATCTAACCTGAACACATTTACAGAACTCCTGTCAGGACATTAATACTAGGGTATGCATTTCTTTTGCAAATAATTAGCACAGTATGCTTTGTTAGCAATTTGCAAGGCATGATGGAAACTACTCATACTCAAGTGAAACAGACTATCCAACGTACCATCAGTGAATACTCCACACGGATTATACTACAGTCAAGAATCGAAGGGGAAACAGGTGGAATTTTCAACTGCTTGCCATTCCAGGTTTCTGTTTTGCCAGATGACAAGGATTCCCCACGCAGGTTGGCAACAAGCTGTTTGACTTCCTTCATTTTCCCTTTGGCATAAAATGCCTGCGTTTGGTAAATGGCTGCCTTTGGCACCACCACACGGGAAGAGCAGTTCTCAATCTCAGCAAAGATCTGAATTGATTCACCTGAAAGAAAACAGAATTTCATGTTCTCTCTTAAGCTTAAGCTGCTTAAGCAAATTGACACATTCTGTCTGTTGTTAGAATGCACTGGATGCTTGTAGCAATGGTCTATGCTGGTAGCAATGCTGTACCTTGAAAAACTACTCTCTGATGCCAACGGGAATAGGAACACCATGAGCTAATCTAAAAGTAAAATGCGCAAGTCTTACAGAAGCAGATGTCCTGCAACAATCTGGAGACACAGCTAGCATCAGTTAACAAAATTAGCCTTAGTTAAGAAAATACCAAGAAGACGGCTGAATGCAGAGTGAGGTGGTAAGCACAGTTTAAACATTTCGTTTATATAACAGCAGTAAGTACAAACTGTTGTTTTAAAAGGGAAGGAAAACCATTTCCTATAATTACTTCTGTTACGTACCTGGGGTGTAGCCCTTCCTTTCAATTTTGGCACTTAAGGATATTGGGCCTGAGGTACAAAACCAACAACAGAGAGTCTTTTCTTTTGTGCCTGCTTGGGGTGACTGCAAGAAAAGAACAACATTGTCCATTTAACAAAGAGTTCCATGAATATCTTCACCTATTTTGATCAACACAAGGGATTGTTTTCATAGTGTACTTATTCCTACATATTTTGGTAAACACGGCTAGTTTTATTTAGAGTAAAAAACTCAAACAATTTTAATGGTACTACGTAGATAGGTTTATTCTAATTCCATTACTCACTGTTTTTTCTACTAGACTTCATACTACAGTCATACTTAAAACAGCTTTTGTACATGAATACTCTATAACTTAAGAAAAGGCTTTACAGCCTACATATCCCAACATATTTGTTGGCAGAACTCTTCATTTATCAGTAAATGAGAATATCTTTCCAGTACACTGTATTTCAGAAACAGTGAGGTTACAGTAATTTAGCTTAGTTGACTCCTGCTATTTCCTCTGTTTTGGAATGATCTCGTATCATCTACAGCAAACAACTCCATTATTTTACATGATACCAGGATTTAGGACTTGATCCAAAGCCCATTAAAGTCAAATGGAATTTGTGCAAGGCCAACGTCCCTTTGCAAGCCTGATTTTTCACCCATACACAGAAGAAACCTATTTCAATGGACTTTGAGGGTTTCCCCCCAGCCCTTCTCCTCAGATTAGAACTTGAGGAAGAAGTAAAATCAAAAAAGAAAAGGAATTTTAGGCCAGATTGAAATCAAATCCTCATGGAAAGCAGTTGTGATACTGAAATGATTTTAATGAAATTAAATGTCATAAAAATATCATACAGAATTGTGATAATTTCTCCCCATTGGTAGAAAGTTATCCATATGGAAGTTATCAATTATGCACTTTGCATTTTTAAGTTAGCAGTCTCTCACTATAATATTAAGTTTCACTGTTCCTTCCACAGAGTAATTTTTATTCAAAATCAAAGAGGAACAGTTCTCAAAATTTTCCTTCTTAGTGACACTTTACAATTTAGTATTATCAATTTAAATTGACGAAGCAACTCCAAGTACAGGAAAATGTAGCTTTCAAAATATCACTAATTACAGAGTTGCTGAACTGATGTAATACTTAGGAGATCAGGTGTAATTAAACTAGAGAACAAATATTAGGTAAAACTTTATGTGGATATTGCTTCAGTTATTATACTTCACTATTTTTATGCCAGAAACAAAGAATGAGCAATTCTGTTAATTCTTACCAGTAATGAAGGAGTGTTGATATCTATATGTTCAAAGACTGTAAATTCCTTCTTTAATTTTACTGGTAGAAACCAAGGCCTATGCAATTCGGCTTTCACCCAATAGCGCACACTGCCATGTCTGCCTTCGAATGAGGTAGCAAGTGGTCTGTGCAGGACACAAAGGTCAAAATTGAGTAAAGTCTCTCTCTCTTAGTAATGATACAATCGATCAGCTCAGGTATTAGTATGTAGAATTGCATTCTAAATGCACTGTAGTACTTAATGCAGCGTAACTTATTTGCAAAGTTTCTGTATCTCCAAAAAATTCAGGATTAAAGATGGGAGAAAAAATCATCTCCAATTCATCCTACTATAGTTTTGCATAGATTTTAAGAATCAATTACAGAATTGTACTTGAAAATGCCAGAAGAGTACACGCTTCCTTTAAGGTTAAGAGACCACCCTCACATTTAGGGTAAACCACGCCCTTTCACAGCCGAATTAGGACTATCACGGCCGAATTAGGACTACCAACTTAAAATTCGCATTAGTATCCACCAACTATTGTTTTGGATACCATATTTTGTAAATTATTGTCTGCTGTTTACTTGGCTGGTATCTCAGTGTCACGTTAATTTTAGCTGTAACTCAGTAGTTTTGTAGCTTGTTTCGCTTTAAGCAGAGTAAATATTTCAATTTAGAGTTCTGAAGAGAGAGGATATTTTAAGTACCTTCTAATGTTCTTCTACCCTGATGAGACCACCTTAAAATGTTTATACTGTACATGGATGTACATATATATGCATATATATCCATGAAATCATCACACCCATTCTGCTCTGAACTTTGATAGATCAATGAAATCTTTTTTAGGGAGGTGGAAGAAAAATGATGTGGAAAGGATCTCCAAACCTTTCAGCATCATCTCTTTTTTTTTTTTTCCTGTAACATCATAAAACTTCCATAGGGAGGAACACTAGCCATGTTAGTACTTTATTAGAACAATTCTTTCTGTTACAGGTTTGACTTCTCTATTTGCACATGTTTACTTCCCCCCTGCCCCAAATAATCCAAATGAAAGGGTTTTATATTCTGCCTTCGATGTTTCATCCTGCCCCGTATTCTTCAAGACAAAAATCAGCAATGCTATCATGTCTCTTCTTTCTTTCCGCTGTTGCTCTGTGGCTTAAGTAAATTTTGAAAGTACTCTACAGACATAAAATAACAAGTAAGTAGGCAGTGCAGAACTTCAGGCTTTAAATACCAGCCTTTGTTTTTTCAGTATTCTCAACAGCTGGTTTCACAGTTATTACTTCAGGCCACTTAAAAAGAACCTGTGCTTTGGCCAACGCTTGTGGTATTCTGCTGGCTATCTGCTTCACTTCATGTTCATGCACAACGTTTGGTTTTTTCATCTTTAAGTGCCCCTTGCAACTCAAGGGAAGATTAGTATTAGCCTTATTTCTTTCTGTAGTTAAGATTTTTCCAGAGTACTAAACTGTCTTTGAGAATCTCCATGTATACAGGTCTTCTCCACTGTTGCAATAAGATCTACTGTAAGGTCCTGTGCTGTTCACTTTGACCCGTGAAAGCGTTTATCATCTGCAGGTTCTGCTAAAACCAGCATCTCCAATAAACAGAAGGTTTATTAGCTTTAATATTAGGTACTGAGCTATTTCACGTTAACACACTGCCAAATTTTTTCAACCTTAACGACGTCACTGCTTGCCTTTTAACGCAAAAGGCTCCTTTTTCCATCCATGTGGAGGTTCCCATCGTTCCTGTGTATTTAATTTTACTGCAACTTGTATTTTAGCTCATTTCCATATTGGTAACTCCTCTAGGTATAAATCTTCCATTCACCATGTCTACATTATGCATTTCAGACTCGGGGGAGGTGCGGGGGAACAATAGTTATCTTAACACTTTTGCTCTCACTTTTGCTTCACCTTTGCTTTCTGAGGCAAACAGGATTAGGAACTGGAGTTTTTCTTGCTTCATCCACCCATCTTTCTGCTTATTTCCAACCAGCCTTTCTGCATAAAAGCCAGCCTGGGTATGTGCCTCCTATTTAAAGGACAACAACCCCCTCTTTTGTTCAAACGTAGTTAAACTTGTCACATCTGTTCCACTGAGCCCAAACAATATAGCTGTGACCTTCTCTCTCTGCTGGCCTGCATGGCTCCAGTAAACTGCTGGTTGGGTTAGAAGATATCTCAGCCACTTTGTAGTACTCCAGCGCTGGTTGAAATTCATCTCCTTCCTCTTGGGAAGGGGTAAAATTTTGGAAGACCTAGTAATTCAGTTGGGAGTTGGTCAGGAGAAACTAAGCAACGGGGCAGCAATGAGCTCCCATTTTGTGGAAATTAAAAAAAAAAAAGGAAGCGTGTATCAGTTTAAAAGCAACCTCTTCAGTTTAATGGGATTATGTCCTCTGCTGCATGTCGGAGCACAATTCCTACTACCATTGAAAAGGTTTCCCCTCCACCCACAGAAGGAGTTTTGCTCAGGAGGGTGGACAGCATGGCCCGAGGACTGCATGCAGGCACTTACGTCTGTGGAAGCTCGAAGCTGAATGCATATTCGTGCCTTCCCGAATGGATGGTGTGAAGGCCTTCTTCCGAATTGTCATCGTCTAGGAGGGAAAAAAAACCAACACACTATTCCACCTGCACACATTTTGTACATTACACGGGGTTCTCTTCCAGAATAAAAGGGGATTTACACACTCCTTGCAGCACTTAAGAACACAAGTGTCCCACAAACAGGGGTCTCTGGTCCACTGATATTAACTGCTGGATGCAGGGACAAATCTCACCTACAAAAAGGGCAGGCCAAGACTGCTAGATTCACCTTGCAGAGAAGCAGAGGTTGATTTGCTTTAATTTATAACCCTGCCTCTGAACACTGACACAGTTGCAACTGCTGCCATTTCAAGGCCCGCCTGCAAGACCTGTAATGGAAATCATGCTTTCCACCGTGATTCCTAGTTAAAATGAAAGAGAGACGACTCTTTTAAGCGATCTACACGAAGGCTGCTGTGGATGATTAAATTTAGTAATTCAGCTTCCTTTTATCTCCCGCCTGGCAACAGTGTCCAGAAATTAATCACTAAAAAAATGAGGGTGAGGGGGGGAAAAAAAAAAAAGAAAGGTATACAAGCACCACCTGGAAAATACCAGACAAATTCATGGGCATGGAAAATGGCAAGCTGCCCTATTAACACCGTTTAGAGATTAACTTTTTATTTTTTGATAGATTAACTTGATCTTGCTTCGACAGCAGGACCCAGATATTTGCTGGTTCCACCAAAAAATCCGACCCGTTTATGGTCTTGTACGCCTTTAAACACCGCAATAAATTTGCAGTTTATTCCAACATAATGCTGACTCCTTCAAAATAGAAAGTTGAAAGAAAAATAACTCAGCATCTCGCAATAAAAAAAGGCTGGAATGATAAAAGGGTACATAATGAGACAATGCGAAAACTGCTTATATTTTATGTTCTGAAGCATTAATGCAAGCACATAGGAGAATTTTAAGTTCCCATTGTCCTACAGAAACGCCGATGATCCCCTCTCTGTAATGTGCCGCAAACACTGAAAATATTAAAAAAAAAAAAAAAAAAGCAAAAAGCCCCCACCAGCAAGCTACCAACAGAAATTCACCTTCAGCGTGCAGCACCCCGACAGCAATGTCAGGAAAACGCGCTGAAAGGGCGAGACAATGTGTTTCAGCGTGAGGGTGGGGTAGTTTTAATTTGATTTTTTAATTTATTTATTTTTAAAGAGACGGGGGAACGTTGCCTGTGGTGGTCTCCCCTGTTTCCCAGCACGGCCACCTCCTCCTCACAGACAAGTTCCCATCCTGCTGCC